AAATGTTGATTTATTTTATAATAAAAGTAGATGCTTTACAGCAGAAAAGCAGCAGAAAGTGGTTAGATTTAATAAGCCTAATTAGTAATTTAGTTAATAAGGCTGAATTGGATTCTTCAGTCTGTATTTATTATGTGTGCCTGGTAGCTACATAGTGGAGGAGTAACCCTGCTATCAAAACTAACTGAACAATTAACTTAACAAAATAGAGGAAGTTTTCTATAAACACACATATACACACAAGCACATTGGGATACTTTATTTGGCCAAGTGTCATTTGCGACAGAAGGAATTTGTCTTCAGTACAGAAGCACAGAACAAGTACTCGTGAATGAAGTTTTTAGCTAATACAATGAACAGTATCTGACATACATTTCAGTACTGTAAATTCTTACATCCTAAAATTTTAGATCATTTTAATGCTGGCTAAGGAATTGTGGGAGTTGAATTCTATATATCTGAAAGCTGCTAAGGGGGAAACATTACTTTACAGAATGATCTGTTGTATGACATGCCTATTCAAGAAAAACATTGATACTGAAATAAATGGGGTTTATTATTAAATATAAGGATGCATGATAGCATCCAAAGTTATAAAAATGCCCAAGAATTTATATATTCTATTACACCAGGCATCTCCAAACTTGGCACCTTTAAGACTTGTGGACTTCAATTCCCTTAATTCCTCAGCCAGACATTCTGTCTGAGGAATTCTGTGAGTTGAATTCCACAAGTCTTAAAGTTGTCAAATTTAGAGACCCCTGTATTACACCATCATGGTCTGATTCACAGAATACAGGGTGATTTTTGGTTTAAAATTAAAGCAAGGAGGATGAAAAAAATTCAGCACAGCGTTTAATTCATATTCTGCCTAAACCAATGTAATACTAAAGAAGCCGTATCTGTTAGCCTATGTAAAACCTTTGAAATGGGTATTTCACATAGAGCTTGAGTATAAACTAAGAATATTTCTTTTTGAAATATTAAAGCAGGTGGTCCTTTGTAAAGCTAACATGAGCTATCCGACTTCACATGCTGTCTCAGCAGTAAATCCTAGCCTCCAGACACACAACTTATTCAGTACTTGGCTTGACTCCGTAGATTCTATGACACAGCTGGGATAGATCAGAATCTCTATACAATCAGATTTAATCCTTTATTTGCTTATACCTAATGGACAGAAGTCTCCTCTTTTGCTCTTCCAGGTGCAGATTCCATCACAGAATAGCATGGGATAGAAACATTCAGATATTTTGTTGGTCAGAAGTTTGGCAATCAATGTGCCATGAGTAAATATAGGCTCTAGCTTTTTTTCTAACATTAGATCACTAAAATGTTGGACCATTTTAGATACTCCAAGTACCTATCTGGCTGGCTATTGTGACAAAGCTGCAAAAGCTTCTTCTTCAAGGAAGGAGAGATAACATATTGTGTTATAGTGATGCAGTTCTTCCCATACTAAGAAAATGATGAGGGAGAAGACAAATCCCCCATCCTGAGGTCCATGCAAAATTGCATATATAGACTCTGTATTTATCAAGTATGGATTTGATAAGTTACAAAGGCATTTAATTCCAGCCTCGTGAAGCTCAAACCAAGCATTTAGGGGAGAAGGGCAGAATGGAATTTGGAGGAAAGTTAAAGAGTGAGAAATATTGGGGTTTATATGGTGAAATATTGGCCTGCATGTTTTGCAAGTCATAAATGTAAGAACTATAAATGTTAAAATAAGGAAAAAATGCCAAACTAACCTATAAGAGCATAGACTTGCAAAAATTTATAGGTTTTTAATCTTCATCTGGTCACTCTGGATCTCTATAGGCATTTGACAAAGAAATCATAACCTACTTCGTAGTAAGCTAAAAAAAGGGGGATAGACAGCATCACCACCAGATGTATTTGTAACTGGCTAACAAAACACACTCAATGTGTAGTTCTCAATGGAACTACACCTACATGAAAGGAAGAAAGCAGTGAGTCACCCCAAGGTTCCATGTTAGGCCCAGTACTCCTCAACATCTTCATAAACAATTTAAATGAGGGAATACAAGGGGAACTCATTGAATTTGCAGACAACACTAAACTGGCAGGAATAGTCAACACTCCAGAAGACAAGTTCAAGATCCGGATGGATCTCAACAGACATGAACACTAGGCCCCATCTACAAAATGAAATTCAATATAGAGAAAAATAAGGTTTTACACGTATGCAAGAAAAATTAAATGTATGTACAGATTAGGTGAAACCTAGTTCAATAGCAGTAACTGTGAGAGGGATCTTGGTGTTCTAGTGGACAATTACTTTAATATGAGCCAGCAGGTCAATGCAATCCTAAATTGCATTAACAGAGGGATAGAATCAAGACCATGTGAAGTATTAGTACCACAAAGCCTTAGTAAACCATACTTAGAATGCTGCATCCAGTTTTGGTCACTGTATTATTAAAAAAATAATATAGAGACTCTGGAAAGTGCAGAAAAGAGCAGCAAAGATAATTAGGGAGTGGAGGCTAAAACATATGAAGAACAGTTGCAGGAATTGAGTTTGTTTAGTCTAGTGAAAAGGACTAAGGGTGACATGATTGCTCCAATATTTCAGAGGTTGCCACAAAGAGGGTGGTCAACCTATTTTCAAAAGCACCAAAAGACAACACAAAAAACAATGGATGGAAACTAATCAGAGAGAAGCAACTAGAACAAGGAGACATTTCCTAACTGAAAACAATTAACCAGTGGAATGGCTTGCCTTCAGAAGTTGTGGGTGCTCCATCACTGGAGGCTTTTAAGAAGAGACTGAATACCTACTTGTCTGAAATGGAGGTCCAGACATGGTCTCCTGGTTGATTGGACTAGAAGACCTCCAAGGTTCCATCCATTGATTGTTTTGTTGTTCTACCAGACTATTACATGCATTCTGTGAGGTGAGTTGGACTGGGAGAGAATGACTGGCCTAAGGACACCCAGCTGGCTTTCATGGCTAAGGTGGAACCTGAACTGTCTTTTATTTTCTAAGCTGCTGCTTTAACTGTTTCTGGATGAAAATTGTGCTGATTGAATGTCCAACAAGTATGTCAATATTAAACCAATACCATACGGATGTTAAATATTTAAATAATTCAACCATTCTTGGCTGCTCCAAAATAGTAAGTATCTCAGAGCAACTCATGTTTGATAATAAAGGCTGTCACTACCTGCAAAACTGAACTGATTCCAACATTAACATTCTTCCGAAATTTCTATGCTGGTGTGATTTGTAGAGATACTGAAATAGATTGTTCTGAATACAATAAGGCAAACTTTGAGGTGTTGAATATTAATAGCATTGATCTAATAGTCACGTAATTATTTAGGGACTTTGCTATGCAATATCTTATATCTTATATTTTCTTTCAGATGCAAAGAAATCCCCTTC